CTTGTTGGGTTATTATATTTGACACCGATCTCCTTACACTATTTATTTAAGTGTAATTTGAGCGTATTAAATTTTGGCGCCGTTGCCGTGGAATACGGTTTTGAAATTACTAATTAGTGTCTGCTTTAATTTTACGTCTTCTTCTATTCCATCACACTTTTCTTGCTTTGCCTGGTGTTATTCGGAAAACATGTCCGAGTATGACGAAGAAGAGAATCATTTTACGGATATAGATGAGTACATTGAGGGTACAAATGCCATTGTCCCTCCAAGAGTTAATGCTGCCACTTTCAAGGTGGAACATGGTGTAAGCCTAACGCTCAAAGCAAAGGGGTTTTCAAGAAATTCCATCGATGATTATCCAACACAACATCTCAGAAACTTCTTGGGTGTGTGTGCGATGCACAAGCAGAACTATGTTTCAGATGATGCCCTAAGACTGAGGGTGTTCAAGTACTCACTAGCTGGAGAGGCAAGGAAATGGATCCAAAATCTACCACCACATTCTATTCATTCTTGGCCTGAACTCGTCCGAGCTTTCCTTGCTGAATGGTTCCTGCAAAGCAAGAAGTCTGAGCTCCAGGATAAAATTTTCTTTTTCAACCAATTATCGGGAGAACACCTACATGAGGCATGGGATCGATTCAAGCTATATTTAGTGAGGTCACCGAATGATGGTTTTGCGGAATCTATCTTGTTGGAGAAATTTTACATGGGCTTGGATCCTATGAATCAATCTATAGCCAAAAATGCAGGTGGCGGATATTTTATTGATAAAACATTTGCGAGGATCACACAAATCCTTGAAAAAATGGAAAAACATAACCAAGCATGGCACTCAGAGGACACCACGGGTGGAATTGCACATGGTACTCCTTCCCTGACCAACATGATTAAGGAGAACCAAGAAAGAGATAAAGTAATTGACAGTCTTGCCATCAACGTCAATGTGTTGATGAAGACGTTCACTGAAAGCCAAACAAAAAAGGTGAATGTGGTGGAAGATGTTCAACCCACATCAAATGAGGATTAAGAGGAAGCAAATTATATCACCAACTCTCAAGGAGGATATCAAAGGCAACCATACCAGGGTTCAGGACAACAAAAACAATGGAGGCCTAACTTGCAAGGGCAAGGCAACCAATAATGACGAAATGACCAAGGCAGTTCAAATCAAGGGAATTGGAGTAATAGCAACAACAATTTTTCAAATCGGAGTTCAAACCCCTATTTTCCGCCAAAAGGGTAATATTCCAACTCTCCGCATTGGAAGGAAGGTTCTTCAAGTGATTCTAAGTTGGAAAACATGCTTGAACGAGTATTGCAAAATCAAGAAAGATCTGACACTTCAATGAGGAATATGACCGAGCTACTGGATTCTCATACCGCATATATTCAAAAGTTGGAAATGCAAATTAGAGATCTCTCAAGAGAGCAAAATCCAAAGCAAAAGGGTACACTACCAAGTGAAATAATTGCAAACCCAAAAGGTAGTGGGAGCAGTCCAACTTCTCATTGCATGGAAATCACAACTCGGAGTGGGAAAATACTTCAAGGAGAGAATGAAGAAGTGGTCGAAATGGAAGATCCCGAACAAGAAGTTGAGACACAAGTTGAGGTGCTAGTTGTTGTTGAAGCTGACAAAGTCCCAGAAGAGGTGAAAATTCAAGAAGTGAACCAAGAAGAGGTTAAGGAAAAGGTGAAAGAGACACCAAAAACTCTAGCCCCAATTCCTAGATCTCCTCCTCCTTTTCCTCAAAGACTTTCTAGGAAGGTTGATGATAGAAAACTCGAGAAGTTCTATGACATTCTCAAGCAATTATCGGTGAATATTCCATTTGTGGAAGAATTTCAAGAGATGCCGGGTTTTGCTAAGTATTTGAAAGACTTGATCACCGAGAAGAAAACCACCAAGAATGAAGGGGTGAATGTGACTCATCGGGTTAGTTCCATCATTGCAACAACCACCGTTCAAAAGAAAGAAGACTCGGGATCTTTTACCATTCCATGCACTATTAGGTTGCGCGATTTTGCAAGAGGTCTTTGTGATATTGTGGCTAGCATCAATTTAATGCCTCTTGCTTTCTACAAGCAAGCGGGGTTGGGTATACCGAGGCCTACAAGTATTGGAACACTCAAAACAACATCAAAACATCAAATCACCCTCGGATTCAAACCTAAGAATTCCAAAACCTTCCGAATTTCGAATTCAATCAGAAAGTCTATTAAACCTCATCCGAATGACCTGAAATTTTGCACACACGTCACAAATGACACAACGGACCTACTCCGATTTCCGGAATTCCATTCCGACCGCTATACTAAAATCTCCACTACCAACCGGAAAACGCCAACATTCCAATTTCGCCAATTCAAGCCTAAATCTTCCACGGACATCCAAAATATATTACGATCACGTTCCTAAGTCCCAAATCACCTCACGAAGCTATCCGAATCATCAAAACCAAATTCCCAGATCGTTTACTCATAAGTCAATTTCTAGTTGACTTTTCCAACTAAAAGGCCAACTTAAGAGACAAAATGTCTCATTTTTTTCCACAAAACCACTCCGAACCCAAACTAACCAACACGATGCGATGAAATACAGCTGAACAACATATAAAGAAGCAGAAATGGGGGAAACAGAGCGGTAACTCTTGAAACGACCGGCCGGGCCGTTACATCCTCCCCCTCTTAAACAAATGTTCGTCCTCGAATGAGTCAAGAAACATACCTGAAGCCTCAAATAGGTGAGGATATCTGCTCCGCATCTCCCGCTCGATCTCCCAGGTAGCCTCCTCCACGAGCCGACCTCTCCACTGCACTTTCACTAAAGCTATATCCTTTGATCTCAACTTTCAATCCTAACGCTCCAAAATAGCCACTGGCTCCACATCATAGGTCAAATCACCATCTAACTGAACCGTTACATCCCCGCAGCAGCAAGCTCTTCAGTCTTGGAATTCAAGTCTAACTCTAAATTGATCAATCTTTTAGCAGAGGCAGCCTCACAATCGGATGCAGCTAGAACGACATTATGAACTTCAACCAATTTGGCCTTAGCCACTTCAAGTTGAACCCTCAACGGGACAATCTCTTAGCTAAGGGTCTCCACTTCTTGCTCGCTTTGCTACAAACGAGCCTCTAACACAACATCCTCAGCATCTTTGGTTTCTAGTTCTGAGAGGCGAGTATCCGTTTGATCCCGTTCAACCAAAAGTTGATCCCGCTTGGAGGTAAGTTCCTTCTTTTCTCGAATCAACCTTTTAAGGCCCTCGGAAGCAAGAAAGTTGGCCTACGAAATAAGAGGGGAAAATTCAGTATATTTTCACGCAAAAATAGGAGAAATAGCAAAGGAAGTAAAGAATGTACCGCTGCGGCGTGGTGCATCGCAGTGTTCAACAAGCACTCTCCTGAGAGAGACTATATCTTTTTGTAATCTTTCTCTGAAGCCAAAGATTCAGATAGTTAGAAAGTTCTACCAGCCGGGATAGCAAATTGCATCCGGTGGAGACCGAGAGATCAACATTCCTCCTCCTTTGCGGATCTTCTAAGGGAATACCATAAATTTTCCCCAAATTCCCATGAACTGGGGATTGGGGAAGAGGAACATCTTCTTTTCAGGCGGACGCGACCAGTGGAGATGATGTTGCACTTGTTGGTGGAAGAGTTGGTGAAGAAGGTGATGAAGCCACTGGCGTTGAAGGATGAGAAGCAGCTGCGACGAACATACTCTTGGTGTTGGTTTATCATCGATCGAAGACAGAAAGGGCCTGATACTCAGCCTCATGGCACCAGGCACTGCGACTAGGATCGACCGAGGTTAGTCTTGATACTTACTGGGCACCGCTGTGGTGTACTCATACTACACTTGTGTACATTTTTTGTACAGATCCAGGTATTGATTGTTAGTGACTGTGCATATCGTTGCTGCGGGGACTCATGATAAAGATGCTGCTGCGTTTGCAGGTCTCGGAGCCACCTTCTATTGTACTTATTTCCATTGTTTCCTTTTGTTCTGGAACAATGATGTATTCATTTTGTATAACTAATCCTACAAAGGCTTATGACTTGTACTACCGGTTTTGGGATTATAAATTGCTTAAAGATTTCTATTTCGGAATTGTTCGGAGTTAGTAAATATTGTCGTTATTTCTGTTAATGTTAGGCTTACCTAGTCTTAGACACTAGGAGCAATCACGACTCCTTCGAATGGATTTTGTCATGAATATATATATATATATATATATATATATATATATATATATATATATATATATATATATATTTCTTAAAAACCTCAAAATGTTTAGGCACAGAAATATGAACTTAAAGACCAAATAAGGAAGTTCACCAATTTGAGTGCTTTCTGTCTAATATGTAACATCATGTTAAATTAATTTAAAACTAAGTCCTTGACTTCCAAGAATGCCTTTTGTCTATTCTCTTGGACTCGTTCCATAATTTGCATTGATATATTCGGTATTTATTTACACCATTTTCTTGCTGGTTCCATCAATTCCATCTCCCTTGTGCTCCCTCTCTCTTTCTCCCTCCCCCAAAAACAATGTTGAAGAGATGTTTGAATTGCTTTGGTAGTGAACACAGACCAGAGATCAGGTACCTACTCAACCATGACATATTCGTATCTTCCTTACCTATGCCTAATTTAATTTTCTTTAATTCAGCCTTGTTAAAATTATAAGTATTTTCTTTCTTTCTTTCTCGTGAATCCAGTGCTCAGAAGAACAGGGATTATCCATGGGATATTTACACATTAAAAGAGCTTGTTAACGCAACAAACAATTTTCATAATGATAACAAGATTGGTGAAGGAGGGTTTGGAAGCGTTTATTGGGGTCGGACTACTAGAGGCATCGAGGCAATCAAGTCTATCATTTCTACTTCCTCATTAATTTGGCACTTTTCTTTTCTAAAGTCAATCTAATTAAGCTTTAAAAATTAGTTCCTTTTTTTCTTCTTGGATTGAAAATCTTTTTTTTTCCCCTTTAATTGTTCAGATAGCAGTTAAAAGGCTAAAGGCGATGAGTGCAAAAGCAGAAATGGAGTTTGCAATAGAAGTGGAAATACTTGGAAGGGTGAGACATAAGAATTTATTAGGTTTAAGAGGATTTTATGCAGGCGAGGATGAAAGGCTTATAGTTTATGACTATATGCCTAATCACAGCTTGATCACCCATTTGCATGGCCAACTTGCTGCTGATTGTCTTCTGGATTGGCCTCGACGAATGAGGGTTGCTATTGGATCTGCCGAGGGATTATGGTAGGTATATTAAATTGAACCATTTCTTGCCCAAATCATAATAATATGTTCGATTTTTACCAAGTTATTCTTAATTGGGATTGGTCTCTTGATACTTCTGTTTGCCGGCCTCTTTTTCTAGTGAAGGCCTCTTATTCTTCAACAAAGCTGTTCGCCATTTTTTCCCCTACTCCCAACCAATACTCCCCCTGTTTCAATTTATTTAAAATAGTTTGACTCGACATGTAGTATTAAAAAAAGAGACTTTTGAAGTTGTGGTCTTATAAGCTTACGAAAACTATAGAAATGTATCATTCTTAAAGTATGTCAGATAAGTTGAAACGGAGAAAGTAGCGTGTATATATATATATATATATATATTACATATTAACGGCCTGCAGCCTCAAATTTTTATTTGTAGTTACTTGCACCATGAAGCAAATCCCCATATCATACATAGAGACATAAAGGCAAGCAATGTGCTCTTAGATTCAAATTTCCAAGCAAAAGTCGCAGATTTTGGATTTGCTAAGTTGATACCTGATGGTGTTACTCATCTAACAACAAGAGTTAAAGGAACCCTAGGGTACTTAGCACCTGAATATGCCATGTGGGGAAAAGTCTCTGAGAGTTGTGATGTCTATAGCTTTGGAATATTACTTGTTGAGATAATTAGTGGTCGAAAACCTTTAGAGAAACTTCCTAATGGTGTTAAACGTGACATTGTGCAATGGGCACTTCCGTATCTCCAAAAGGGTGACTTTAATCACATTGCTGACCCTAGGCTCAAAGGAAAGTTCAATCGAGAACAATTGAAAAATACAATCTTGATTGCAATGAAATGCACTGATGGAAATCCTGAAAATAGGCCAACCATGTTAGAAGTTGTGGATTGGCTCAAGGGTGGGGTGGAAAAGAGGAAGAAAGAGATCAAAATAGTGAAGAATGATGATGATGAAAACGAGAGCGATGACGACTATGTTGATGATATTGAGACTGACTATGAAGATTATGCTAAGAAAAAAAGCAAGCCAAGGCTACCCATTTCGGAGTCGAATAAGAGGAAATAAATCTCCAACAATCTTGTAATTGTTCCGAATTATTGAACTGTATATTTTAGTGTGATGTATTTGTGCTTATTTATTGTAAGTTAATTAACTCTTTTGGTACTTTTGAGGATCAGAGGAGTCATGATATCCGTTAATTTTGTTTAGTTTCGCAAAATTAATAATATTCATCCACACGGACATGCACGAAAACCTTTTCTCTTTATGCTAGGATTTGCTTGAATATTGATCCTTAAAGAAATAGTAAATCATTTCTACTGACGACGATTCTAGACATTAAATAATTCTGCAAAGTTTTAGTGGCAACAGCTTTTATAATAATAAAAACATAGCTGGATTAAATCCAAGCATATACTAGTAATATTATCCTTATTTTCTTTATTATTATTATTATTACTATTATTATTATTATTATTATTAATGTTGTTGTTATTATTAGTATAATTGAATTTTCGCCGGTTTGTAGTTGTTAATTTTCTTCCTCTATTATACATAGTTTATCGGTGATATATTCAATTCCCACGGCCGGCTTCTGATGCCTTACGTAAGCTGCTAACAAGACGATATGAAAAAGACATTTAATTAGTGTTTTTAACAAAAGTAGTGGCATATAAATAAAGGCAATGAGGGATTGATTGCTAATTTTAGCTACTCTTAGGGATCTAAGTTTAGAATTGACCACGGTATTGTTTCTTCTATGTAATAAAGGACGGCAAGGATTCCCAAATTACCATATGATGTAAGCACTTTACATTATGTTTCGGTCCTCTTAATTCGTTTCTCTGGAAAGTAATATTTATGAAATGGTGGGGTGACTAATAAAATAAATATCATTTTGGTTCAGTGTTCCAGTACCATCTAGTAATGGAATATTGTTTGTACGGGTAAAATTGGGGTAGAATTTTCCCGATTTTCCGATGAGAGAATGAAGGGGAAGTAGGGCTCGATATGATTATAATCGGGGTCGGGAACCCCTCGTATCGAGACCCAGGAAGAATGAACGATGTATTTAAGATCGGACACGGCAAAGCGACGTACCTTGGACCATGTATGGCTTCTGAACCTCAGGAGACGCGGTAAATGGTTATGCATGACGGATATGGGGCCGTAATATTCGCCCTCAACCGGAATTTACGGTGCGAATCCCATTCGGTATCAATTATAGATCAACAATTACCGGAAAAATAAGATTCTTACCTTTTTTAGACTTGTAATAGGATTGAAACTCTCCTACTATATAAAGTAGGAGTTTTTCATTAGCCTGACATATTGTATCACGCATTTCAAAGGAATAAAGTTTATTTTTGTCTTCTAGTTGTTGTTCAAGGCATTACTCATTTGTTCTTTGCTTCATTCGCGACCTAGTTTGTACCGAGGGCTAGATCGGGGACTGGTTCCGCTGTTCAATCTAAGATCAGGCTTAGTCATTATATTGAGATTGGTTTGATCATTTATTTTGTCTTAATTCATTTATCTGTTATTCTTAATTATTCTTATTGGATAAAATTACGTATGCTATAAAACGCGTACAAATATAATTGTTACTCATTTTTGGGGTAAATAATTTGGCGCTCACTGTGGGGTTAAGGATAATGGTGGTGATTTGATACGGATCTCTATAACACACCCTATTTTATGCTTGTTCTTTGAAATCTAAATTCTTGGTCAGCCTGAGGATGTCAAACTCTCAGTCTGCTCACTCGAGTATTGACCCTGAGTTAGGCCATCACAACGAAAATAGTAATGTGGTGACCAGTAATGATGTGCCTCCAGTCGATCCCAATGGTGTCTCAACCGACCACCTGGTCGATGCGAACTCGTAAGAGGCCATCAACATAAATTTGCTAATTAATCTCAAAAACGGTGTTCATAGAGGACCCCGGCCAACGGCTCGAGAAGCGCCCGAAGGTGAATCTGATGGGGTGAGCCTACAATTGATTTTCGAAATGTTGCAGACTCAACAAGCGGCAATAGCACAGCTGCAGAACCAAAGCCACGCCCCTAACAGGGTCGAGCCCGAACAATCTCAGAAAATGCTCGGAGAGACGAATAAGTTGCCGTGAGACCGGGTGAAGCCGAGCCTGGAGAAACTTTAGAGGCAATGAAGATGCTCGAAGTATTAAAAAAACGGGTGGTGTCAAGCGAGAAAAATAATGAGGCCAGCGACAAGAAGGTGAAAACATAAAACTCCAGGATCGATCAGATCCCGGGAGCACCTCCGATATTGAAGGGATCAGACTCCAAAAAATTTATCCAAAAGTCCTTCTCTCTGAACGCGGCATCGAATCCGATCCCGAAGAGGTTTCGAATGCCCGACATTTCCAAGTATAATTGTCATGACCCAAACCTATGGATCGCAACGGGCACCCGGTACTTTACTCAATCGAGTACCAACATAACGTATCTTGTCGTATCATACTATCATAGATAACTGAGCCGGAGAGGCAGCCATGAAATAGGTAGAATACAACATGTAATACCAACTTATACATAAGACATATGAGCCTCTAAGAACAAAATAACCACTAGTAACCTGAACATAGGCCAACAAGACTATACAATCTTTTACGTACATGACATCTGTCTATGAGCCTCTAAAGATACGTAATTGTCATAAGGTCAGGAAAGAGCCATACCATACCAAACAATACACATCTAAATCATACTGACCCAACAAGCAACTCCGGAGCAAATGGAGTGCACCAACATCTTTCGCTGAGCTGATTGCCTACTTGGAGGACTCTCGACCTGTCTATCGAGACCTGCGGGCATGAAACGCAACGTCCCCAGGCAAAAGGGACGTCAGTACAAATAATATACCGAGTATGTAAGGCACATAAATAAGTACGTAAAAGACATGGATGAAATATTGAGTAAATGACTCAACCCGTAAGTCTGGATAACTCTGTAAATCATAAAATACTCATAGTGTCATGCATATGTCTATGAATGTCATGTCGTGCATAGGTACATGTTTCATAATGTCATCAGGCCTCTGAGGGCATCTCATCATATCATCTCGGCTACTACGGGCAAAATCATGAACGTATGCCAACTGATCAGGCGGCGGTGCGTATATAGCGCGATAACCTTTCCCATATATATATANGTAGTGGCGCGTATATAACGCCATAATCTTTCTCATATCCCATATACATATATATATATATGTGTATACACGCGTATATAACGCCATCTGGTCATGGGTCAATGTGCATGTATAAATGCATGAAACGCATATGAAATACGTTAATAAAATCTCTCGGTACGTCATAAGACTATTATGCCTCTGATTAATAACATGAAATAAAATTTACCAACTTACGTATTTTTGAGACCCATGAACAGATGATAGAATAATATGACACATGGGAGAATAAGAATATACACATTTCTAGCATTTCTAAGAATAGAGTAATTTATGGAATTTGTGCATTTGCTCATTTTGCTTGTGTCGTATAGATCATGCCAAAAAGAAAGAAGGGATAGCCTTAACATACCTGGAGCAGGGAAAAAAACCGTATGATATTCTTGAGAAATATTGCACCGTGAATATTACAAAGAAACTCCGAATTGGTTTTTGATCATTTCAAGTTGAAATATACAGTAGTAGAAATATAAACGACGTTACTCTTTCGTGATAGCATTATTGATTTCTTTGCTACTCACTCATTTGTGTAATATAGTTCATCTTCAAGACTTGTGTATTCTGATACGGAGATATGGCAGAACTAATTTGCTTTTAAGCATTATAGATCATTGACCAAGAAATATATCATCTATGTAAAGAAGATTTGTATTGAAAATCTTCCAAATGAAGTATTGTGCGACTAAGGCATTAGTTTGCCACCCAATCAAAATTGACCATGAGTCATGTCTTAGGAAGTGGCTTGCTGCCACGTGGGGGTGGGGATTTCAATCTTATCCCATAATCAATTAATTAATTAGATAATATTCTGTTACACGGTAATTAACCAATTACCCGCATAATTAAGAATTATCTCAAATTACTTATAATACTACTCATTTTTAATACTCCTTATACACCTTACTATCATGGTCATGTGGTATCTTGTATGGTGCTAGTCCATAAGTACCGGGTATTTTAGCTCGGGCCGTATTTTATCCCAAAATGACAAAGTTCGACGAAATTCATTTTCTTTGATTTACTTGCCCTCTCACCTTCACGAATTTACTCATCACTTGTTTGAGATAGCATAATACTTATAATCCAAAAATAATCTCATTCCTGAACTTACGCCGATTAACTTATGACGAAACTTTAACGTACGAAAACATGGGGTATAACATCATTCCCCCCTTCGGAACATTCGTCCTCGAATGTTGACTGATGCACTTATCATTTTCATAACCCATAGCTCTTGCGAATATTTTAATATTCTCCTTTCCATTTAGGCAAATGTTCTTTGAATAAATCCACAGGTCAGGGCATTCCCCCCTTTAAGCCTCTTTCTTATACCACGACTTGTAGTCGGAATCCTTCTAATCTCGTAACTATTGCTACCTTCTATCATGCAGCCTGTATGATTCTAATTTTGTATGTGCGCCTATACGACACTTCTCTCCTCCTTCCTCCAGCCCTTAGCTAATCTCTACGCCTCACTTTGTGAACATATACAAAATTATGTCAAGTTGTCCCTTTGGGTGTCATTAGTTTTACTATATCTAAGTAGGCCATACTATACCATTACTCTTACTTCGATTTATTGTTACTGAGGTATGTGACAAAACTCCAAGTTACTCTCTCGCTGCTTATCATGTATGTATAAATCTAAGTCCTTTAATGCTTCCTCGTTACTGTTCATCTTAAGAATGACGACCTACTCTCATCTCATATTTTGTAACCCTTATCCATCCATTGTTGATTCACCTCAATATTGATCTACACTCTACCTCTGATAACTTGAAACCTCTTACGTAATCAACAGGGCTTACGTTGAATCATAGAACATTTGAAGTGATTTTCTTGATCCACCTAGGGGCGTTACGATACTATTCTTCCATAATTGTATTTCATAGCATCCTAATGTGATTTA